CATACACACATACACACCGTTTCTCTGTTCCCTCACCTCGCTCTCTCTCGCCCAAGCCGATCCTGCTCTGCCCCCTACCTTCCTCTTCTGTGTGAGTGTTCGTTTGCCCTTGTCCTAGCCTGACACTATGAGGCACTGTGCATCATGAAGGGGAAAGAGGAGGGATGGTAAAAAGAAGAACCATGAGCAACCTTAGCAAAGAAAAGAGAGGACTCAAGGAGGGACGACAATAGAAAGGAGGGCGAGAACACTTGACATCGAAGGAGGAGAATGCAAGTGAAGAAGAAGAGGGAAACGCCGAAGATTATGCCGGTGGTAGGAGACTAACGGGTGGTTGACTCAACAGCACAAGGAGTCGTAATTGTGGTTAACGAGATGCATAGAGTTAAACAGGTGGAAGCGGATCAGAACGATGAGAAAAAAATGGTAAAATGAGAGGCTAAGGCAAGCAGCTAGAAACCGTGGTCCCCACTCATTCATGCCTTTCCCCACGGTTGTTTCTTCATATCTGTCACAGCCCTTCCCAGCTCATCCAGATCATCAGGCTGGAAAGGGACATAATAGCTGTCGAGGCATGGTGTACAGGGACATAGCTGTGCTCAGAGGCATGGTCACAATTTGTATGGGTTCTTCTTCAAAAACAAGCATACCAATCTATACTCAAAAACTCTTTCTAAAATAATGGTTAAAATACACAAAATCATTCAACTTATGAAAACTCAACATTGGTGAGCGGAGGCTCACAAGAGTGTTTTCCTTCGGCCCTAAAGCCTCAAGTGACTTCATAGAGGTGCCAAGACCGGGACACGGCTACGCTCAAAGGCATGCGGGAAAGGGGGCTACATTCTGCACAATTGCTTCTTCATGTTTGTCATGGCCTTTCCCAGCTCATATCCGGATCATCAGGCTGGAAAGGGCCATAGCTGTGCTCAAGAGGCATGGTCGACAGGGACATAGCTGTGCTCAGAGGAATGCGGGAAAGTGACATACCCGTGCTCAGAGGGCACGAAAAGGGACATAGCATAGCTGAAAGGGACAAAGCCGAGGCCAGAAAGAGCATAGACAAGGACATAGCAGTGCTGGACCGGGACATAGCCATGATCAGAGTCATGGAAGGGGACAGAGCCGCAGTCAGAGGTATGTAAAGGAACATAGCAGTGCTCAGAGGCAGATAAACGGACACAGCCGTGCCCAGAGGCATCAAAACGTACATGGCCATGCTCAGAGTCATGCAAATGGACATAACAGTGCTAAGAGGCCCGGTGGAAAGGGACATAGCCGTGCTCAGAGGTAGATAAAGTGATATAGCCGTGCTCAGAGGAAGATAAAGGGATATAGCCATGCTCAGAGGTAGATAAAGGGATATAGCCGTGCTCAGAGGTAGATAAAGGGACATAGCCGTGCTCAGAGGTAGATAAACCGTGCTCAGAGCATCAAATCGGACATAGCCGTGCTCAGAGCATCAAATCGGACATAGCCGTGCTCAGAGCATCAAATCGGACATAGCCGTGCTC